AGTTCTCGCTGGCTGCCGGCCACTCATGATAGCTCACAGCAGCCCACCGCAGCCCCACTGCAGCCTACGCCGTCGCCAGCCACTCACGGCAGCCCAGCTCCAGGTCGAGCTGTTGTTCACCATCTTAGCTGTAGAGGGTACAGTGTCACTGGCTCATGTGGGAACCGAACTGGTGGCCCTGCTGCTCAGAGCTCGCACCCCCAAGACGACTCGTAACCAACTGAGCCACTCGCCTGGCCCCCCACATTGATTTTTTTTTAATGTTTCTTTACCTACTACCATGCTAATTCAAATCCTTGGTTTTAGATCATAGTAATGGCCATGTAAGACAGGAAGGATTCTCAGTGCCATTGTAATAAACTTAAGTCACGTAGTTTGCCTTTTCCATGAAATCATAAATAACACAGATAAGGCACACAAATTGACTTGCTCTAGGAGCAAGTTACTAGAAGTGGTAAGCGTGGCTTCTGCCCCTGGCTATCTGACCATCTGACTGCAGCAACATCATGCTGCCCCCGAACTTTCCAGCTGCAGCCTCCGTTCCAGTCTCTTCCTCTTTAAATTCACCCAGAGTAACCTTTGTACTACCCTGCACCCACTTGTCACCTTCCTGCTCCAGAGCAGCAAGAACTCCTGCATCAAATACAAATTCCTCTGCCTGGCTATCGAAGTTTTCCAAACTGGCCTAATCTGGACTAACCAATCATTTCTTCCTGTCTGCCCTTCTCTCCAGCCCGATGGTGACCATTTGTCCTGCCTGCGGGCCTTTGCTTATGAGACTCCTTCTCCATTCAGCCTCCTGGTTTCACTCTAGTTCCCGTCATCTTTGCTTTCCTTTCTCCTGCTGCACTCAGGCACCACCCCACAATTTCAGAGGCTTAACTGATCTCTAATTGTTTCGTGTGTGCCAGTTTTAGCTCCCCTAAAAGAGGCTGAGAGCCTATAGAGCAGTGGTTTTGCAAGTGTGGTCCCCAACCTGAAGCATCAGCATTGCCTGGGAACTAGTTAGAAAGGCACATTCTTGGGCCTCACCCCAGATCGACTGAATTGAGTGCTCTCTGACTTTAGCATACATCAGAATCACCTGCAGGGCTTGTTAAAACACAGATTTCTGGGCTGCCCTTCAAATCTCTGATTTAGTAAGTCCAGGCTGGGGCCAGAATATTTGTGTTTCTAAAAGGCTCCCACGTGCAGTAGACAAAATGTTTGTGTTCTCCCCAAATTCATATGTTGAAATCCTAACCCCCAATGTGATGGTGTTAGAAGATGGGGCCTTTGGGAGGCGATTAGGTCACAGGGGTGGAGCTCTCGTGAATGGAATTAGTGCCCTAATGAAAGGGGCTCCAGAAAGCTCTCACCCTCCTTCTGCCATGTGAGGACACAGCAAGAATATAATTGTCCATGGTCCAGGAAGTGTGTTCTCACCAGACACCACATCTGATGGTGCTCTGATCTTGGACTTCCCAGCCTTCAGAACAGTAAGAAATAAATGTTTGTTGTATGAGCCAACCATTTGAACTGACAGGCACTGTGTTCTTTTTGTTATAGCAGCTCAAATAGCCTAAGGCACTGGGCAAAGCTGATGCAGCTAACCTAATGACCTCACTGTGAGAAACACTGCCCTAGAGCTTAGCATGGAGCTTGCCTCAGTAGATACTTTAATCGGAACTTAGGTGGTTTTGCAACTAAAATCTCATTTATTACTCAGGATTGATTATCGCATGGTAGGATGGACACCTCAGGTTTCAATCTGGTGGCATTTACATGTATGTAAATAATTTTAGAGGCTAGCTCGAGTAAACACCTTAATGCAAGTGTCAGCCCGTGGGCAGATAAGTTAAAAATGGATATAAAATGTGTAGCAGTGGACTCTGTTCAAAGTATGTAATATCCCTTTGCTCATTTAATTCTCACAACAACCTATGAGACAGGTTTGATTACTATCCTCTCTAATTTACAAACAAAGGGGCACTGGAGGTTAAATAATAGTTTTGCTCAGATAGTAAGGCATGGAGCTAGGATTTGAACTTAGACAATGTGGCTCAAAGTCCATGATTATAACAAGTATGCTTTGCAATCTCCATCTCACAGCTGGGAACAGCAAGCCTAAGGCTGGGCAGGTGCCTGGGAGCCCCATCTCTTCCTGCCTTTGAGCAAGTATCTATCAGGTCAGATGGAGGAGCACAGCTTCCCAGGGCCGTTTTCAGCAACCAAAGCAATGCTTTTTGGGTAGACGGTCATTGAAATTAGATAACAAGCCTATATACACTGTTTTGATGGGATGGAGAGAACAGTCATCAGTAAGGTGGCATAGCTCACAACTCTGCCACAAAAGTTAGCAGCATGGGCCAGGATGGCTTCTGGAATCTGCATGAGCCATTCTTACCATACCTTTGAATACCAGCTCTCAAAGTCCCACCTTACACCTGTCTTCCCCTCCTGTGAGAGATGGTGTTCAGCCTTTACATGGGTCTTCCAGTATAACAAGCTCACCGCCCCCCTAGCCCCCAACTAAGCAGACCAGCTTATTTTATTTTAAGGAAACTAATCATTACAAATAGCTCCCTAAGCTGAGCCTGAGATTGTCCATCTTTACCTTAATTGGTCCTGGTTCTTTCTCTCGTGGACCTCCAAAACAACTATGATCCCTTGCCCACACGCTACCCTTTGTGTATTTGAAAATGGACAACAATTATTTTCTCCTCCTCTGTTTCCCAAATCCTTCCTTTTCTTGGCTAAATAATCAGTTTTCATCAACTGTTCCTCATATAACATACTTTCCAGGCTTTTCACCATCCCACCGATAACTCTTTTTGATGAGCTTTAAGGATACATGCAAGTCGAATGTTTACATTCCAGGTCCCGCGTGATCTGGCCAGCGCACCCTACGGCAGAATTGCTGCCTCCTATGAGCTGCCATGCCTCATGCTTCCTGGGCATTGATGGTAATCCGTAGCTTCCTGGGCAGAAATATCCCTCTTGGCTCATGGTAAATTCATGATCAACTAAAATCCCTTTGCTATGTCTGTTTGACGGGAAGGATTGGGTTGTCAGAAAAGTCATGATGCATTTTTACAACGAAAAACATAGAAAAAAATATGACACGACTTTTCCGACAACCCAATATTTTGTACCAGATCTCTTTCATCTTTTACCCATGTAGGTAGTTTGTTTAAGAAAGGACTTTACACTCATCCCTTGAAATTGTGTCTTATATGAGCCAATCCATCCTGAATACAAAGACTCAGAGACAATGTGGCCTGATGCACTCCACTTAGATTTTGAAAACAAGTTGGCAACCTGTAAATGTAGTTTTTGTCTGCAAGGACCACCACTGAAAAGGTGCCCATTCCCTACTGTCATCATGATCAGGCTTTGAGAACACGCCAGAGGCAGAACTGAGAAGTCTTCTTTCCATAGCCCATGTGTTTCTCATCTTTGTGACTTATTGCTGTAGTCCCCCTACTGGGAAATATACACAGTATTTTATTTAGTGTCTATATTAGTTTGTTAGGGCTGCCATAACAAAGTACCAGAAACCAAGTGGCTTAAACAACAGAAAGAGGATAGAGCTTAAGGTACTGGCAGGGCAGTTCCTTCCGAGGGCTATGAGAAAAGGATCCATCTCTTTCGGGCTTCTCCTTGGCTTGTAGGTACTCATTATCATGTTCCCATGACGTTCTCCTGCTCTGCCAGCCTGTCTCCAAATTGCTCCTTTGTTTAAGGACACTACACATATTGGATCAGAACCCACCCTAAAGACTTTATTTTAACTTCATAAAGACTCTATCTCCAAATAATGTCACATTCTGAGGTACTGGGGGTTAGGACTTCAACCTATGACTATTGAGGGGACACAATTCAACCCATAGCAGTATTGATGTACCAACTCCCTTGCAATGTTCGTTTCTTCCACAGCACACGAGATACAGCACAGGACTCTCCAGTATTCTGGTTGATATTTAAATGTTTGAAATTGTTTCATGGTCACATGGGCTATGCTGACATGAAGCTAATGAAGATGGTGACCATAGAGGCCATGGTAGTGGTGGTGGCAATTTTACTAAGAAAAACCGCATTTCAGTATCTCTGTACACAACATATACTAGCTTCTTAAAAGAACCTCCATGTTTCAACATGCTCCACATGTTTGCACAGCCAGAAACATATCCCCATACATCAGCGGCCAGATAAACTAACCAGACGTAATTTAATAGGGAGCTGACATGTCCTACGAATGACAGCCCTGGTTCATAGCATGTTGATCCTGATCATCACTATGATTCTGTTGGGTTCAGAGCTGCCCCTTCAGCACTTATGATTTTCGACAGAATCAAAGGACCTGCATTCTAGTCCTGGGTTTGTGTCTTTACCACTATTTGGCCCTAGCGATATCGCTTGTCCTCACTGGTTAATGAAAGGTAAAAAGCTAGAAAGAAATTGGCCTTCCAGGTTAAGCACCGACCATTTCTGGATTCAGTGTGCAGGAGCCTGTCCCTCGGAAGCTGCGCACTCAGGGTCACCGAGGAAGTCAAGTGGAGCATCGGCCAGGCCAACGCCAGGCCAAGGGCAGTAACTGCTCACCTGCCCTCTGTGCTCCTGCCTGAGTAGAGACTGGTCTCCCTTGTTGACACTGAACCCAAGTCTCCAGTGGGGTTTTTAAAGATAGGGAGCAAGACCCAAGGCAGCCTTCTGCACACATCTCCACGACAGGGGTGTCCGTGTGTGTTTGTATCCTGTAAGCTGGCGGTGCCCCTGCTTCAGAATTATGCTGGACGCAGCCCGTCAGCACGTGAGTTGTGTTGCAAAAAAGCACAGTCATAAACTGGCAAAGGGTCCTGTTCTGTTAGCTAAACTGATGTCTCTCAGGCGAGTTAAGATTCTCCTAGATAAAAGAAGGCATTGGGGATGTCAGCAACTCCAGGCTGAACTAGAGTCCAATTCCCTTCATACCTGAATTCCAGGAACCACGTGCTCCCATCAAGACTGGGCACTGGTCACTGCACCTTTAGCTCAGTAGCTCTCAGGCATTTGGGATTCTGATTGTTTTCTTCAGGACCAGTTTCTACTTATGCCATAGATTTTTCCAGTCATCTAAGTTTTCTAACCTTATTGGTTAAACAGTGGGAGAAAAGCCTGAAGAAAATTCAGGAGCCTGCCAACTCAGTGAAATTTCTGAGAGTTCCGTGGTCTGGGACGTGTTATGCCCTGTGAAGTGAAAGACAGGTTTCTGTATCTTGCTCCAGCTATCCTTGAGAAGGAGTCACTTGATGGACCTCTGGAATTTGGAGAGAGATTTAACACATTTGGAGGTGCTGCTCCAATTTTTTTTTTTAATCAAGTAATCTAAAAGGCTGCCAACTTTGAGTGGACCCAAAGCAAGAGAAACCTCACAAGGTGACCCAAGAGGCCTTGCAAGTAGTGCTGCCACTTGGGTTTGAATGTCCAGCTAATCCAGTGATGCTTGATGTGTCGTGGATTGGAATGCTGTGTGGAGTCCGAGGCAAACCCTGGGAGGAGGATCACAGCTCTGAGCCCCACAGAGCTGTAATTAAGTGTGTTTTGGAGCAGAGGCATGCCATCTTCAGCAAATAATTGCTCTGTTGTTGCTGGATATTAATAAAACATGCTGTCTTCATGCTTTAAAATTTTTGTCAGTCTGGTGGATGCTTAATGCTAGTTCACTGAGGTTTGGATTTTGATTTCTTGGATTACCCATAAAGTAGATCATGATTTTATATTTTATGGACTCCATTTTGATAGCTTTGTTTGGAGGTAACTTTTCAGGTATTTCTATAGTGTGTCTGCCATAGATTTCAGATTAATGTGAGCTTTTAATATACTCTAAGAGATGACAGTTCCTTGGTGCTTATTTATGTTGCAAATATGTTTCTCTCTTCTGTGCCATGTTTATAGTGTACCTTGCTGAATACATTGTTTAATTATTCTATATCATTATTTCCTTCCACATCCTTTTTCTATGTCTTAGACTGAAAGTGGTATAGTAGAATCTCTTATTATTAGTGTGTTGCTTTTTATCCTTACATCTCCCATGATTTCTGATTTATTTACATTTCAGTGTGTTATTTGGAGCAAAGTTGTTTTTATGTAAATATTAATATTATCACATTTGCATTATGAAGTGTCATTGTTTGACTAATTTAATGCTTTTCTTTGGCTGCATTCTCCAGTACTGCATAGCAACCTCTGCTTTCTTCTTCTTTACATTTTTTATATTTCCCATCTAACTCCCCCGCTTTTATTCAGCCTTTCTGAATTGCTTTGTTTTAGGTATGTGTTTTACATACAGTGTAGAATTGGATTTGCTTTGTGAGACAGTCTGAAAATCTCTTTCATTTATTTAGTAGATGAGTTGTGTCTGTTTACATTATTGATAGGACTGATATGTTTGATGTCAGGTTTGTCATTTTATTTTATGTTATAGTTATTAGGTGTTACTATGTGGCTAATTTGCATTTTTCAGTCTTCCTGATACCTAGAAAGGTTGTATTTTTGTTCTAGTGTATACCTTTATACGAATACATTTATGCTAATATTCTTAGTCCTCTTTTTTTTTAATTGATGCTTCTGCTTTTGATTTGTTACCTCTAAAGTTACCTTTGACTCCTACCTGTTACATTGAGAGCAATAAAAAAAAATCACGCTTTCCCCTACTTTCTTGTCTCATGTATTTTTAGTTGTGTTATTTCTACTTTGTCAAATAATATAACATTTATATACTGTGCTTCTAGTTTTATCCCTGTCACCTCTGTTTTAGTCTCAGATCTATAACTAAGTATGTTCAACACCTACTGCCAGTTCTTTCTTTTTTTTTTAACTGAAAAGCTGCCACCATTTTTTTAAGATTTTTATTGGAGAATTGGGGGGATGGGAACAGTGCTGGGGAGTTGGGGGAAGGGGAACAGATAAGTTGCTGTCATTTTGTTCTTCAGTCTAGTTGTGGAGGACGTTGCTTCACTGGCCCAAGTTGGCACCATCATTGTGCTCTTCCAGGGCGAGGCAGATCAGTTGCTGGCTTCTGGACGGCTGCTCACTGCAGCTGCTGGCTGCTCACGCTGGCTGCTGGCTACATACAGTAGCCCATGGCAACCCACTGCCACAGGGGCTGCAGCCTACGCAGACGCCGTTGCGGCAACTCACGGCAGTCCAGCTTCAGGTCGAGCTGTTGTTCAGCATCTTAGCCGTGGAGGGCAGTGTCACTGGCCCTCATATGTGGGATCCGAACCAGGGCCCTCTGACGTCCCAAGCCAGTTCTTAACCATCGCGCCACTCGGCCAGCCCGACTGCCAGTTCTTTTGCATAAGATTTTTCAATCATCTCTTGCTTGGATTAAGCTCAGTTTATAATAGACAGAGCTTTTCAGTACAAAATCCCCTTACTTCTTCCACATTATAAAAGTTGTCTAGAGCAGGGGTGGGCAAACTATGGCTGCAGGCTGTTTTGTGAGGCTGCGACCTACTAATGTTTTTTACATTTTTAAAGAGTTGAGGAAAAGAAGAAATATGGCAGTGATCATATGTGGCCCCCAAAGCCTAAATTATTTACTCTCTGGCCCTTGACCAATGAAGTTTGCTAATCCCTGCTCTAGAGCCTGGATACTTGAACAGTTTGATAAGCTCTTAGTATCCTTGGCTTATACCTTTTTTTCTCTGAGTTTCTTTAAAATGTTGTTTTACTGAAATCTTGTTTTATGTGTTACTATTAAAAAGTGTGACACCACCCTGATTTTCTTTTCTCTGTAAACTAGCTGGCTTATTTCAGTCTGAAAGGCCAGA